TATTACGTTGTTGCCGAGTGAAACGGAACGCATGGCAGGGCAGCCGTTGAAAAATCGAGCTGAATCTACGCTCTGCGAATCGTAATAACGGTCGTTTCCCAAACGACGTTTGAAAACCCGCCGTACTCCTCCACTCTTTTTTTTCTTTTTTTTTTTTTCCTCGCGATCCACTCGTCGTCGCGACCTGCGTAATCGCGAGAAACGTATCGAGTTATTAGACTCGATTCGACGATGGGCGGATTATGCGTTGTTGTTAAGATATCGCGAATTTTCGCGAATAAAAATAAAATAAAATTTTGGATTCTTGAAAAAGAAAGGAGAGAAATCAAGTTCTCTTCGAGTGGCGTAGCTGTCGTTATTCGAATATTTAACTTAAAATGGATTTCTTAAAAATATTCGAAGCGATAATTGCGAGACGTATACGAGTGTTGCCATTACTTCGTTCTATAATTGTAATGATAAATTTTGTAACAGTTTTTGTAACACATCGAGATTTGTCCCTTTGATGGTACAAAGAGAAGCTATGAAGAGATAAAAAGACCATAAATAATCGTAAAGTGGTGTGATCAAAATTAGAATGGAAGAAAATGCATTGTAAATAAATCCGTCGATACCATCCGAAATCGTTCCAAAAGAAGATCCTCCACGATTTTTGATTAATCTAAAATATTAAACTTGGCGGTAAAATTAATAGGATTCGAATTGTATTGGAACGTTAGAATGAGATCCAGTACGAGTCGAGAGAGAAAAATGGAACGATCGAATATATATATATATATATATATATCGAAGCGAATAAATTATTCGCCATTTTTTTAAGCCTCGCAAATCGTATTCCGGCTTTGAGCAAACACGTTGCGTTGTTTGCATACGGTTTTGTTGAAAAGGGATGATTTATCGCGGGGCTCGTTTCCGCACGCGTCGATTAAAGTCAACAATTTAATCGCAAAATTATGCACTGCCGAGAGACTAATTCATTTCGTTTCGTTGTATCGCGTCATCGAGATAATCGCCCAAAACTATAAATTTCTCCCACTTTATTATCCCCTCGTCGAAACCCAGTTCGTTTTATTAACAGCAACAATACAATTTCGCCATCTTGTATTCTCGATTTCTTCTTCTTTATTCACCAAATATCCCCTTTCCTAAACGTATCCAACGTATCGTGCGACATATATATAAATTATATAATATATAAATACAATATATATATATATATTTTATTAATTATTAATTATATTATTATTTTATATATATATATTTTATTAATTATTAATTATATTATTATTTTATATATATATATATTTTATTATATTTAATTACATAAATTAAAAAAAAAAAAGGAAAAACCATAAATTCTCGAAATAAAATGGAAAAACAAAACGCGGATATTAAAGTTTACTCGAATTCGAGCACATCCGAGCATTCATGCTTCTCGAAAAAAAAAAGGAGGGAGGAGGAAAAAATAACGTGGTATCGATCAAAGGGGCAAAAATCGTACGTCATCAGTAGCAAGGTGATTAATTTCGTGCGTTATCGCTCCTCTTAGTTTTCGAGTCGACTTGCAACGTTGCATGCTTTCGATTCGAAAATTATTATTCGAAGGAGGAGAAGGGGAGGCAGGTTTCGCCTCGTTGCCACGCGATCAAAACGATTTAATCGACGTTTTACCTCCTCCTCTTTCTGTCAAGAGGGCGCCTCGATTAAAACCAATTACGACGTTTTCCCAACCTTTGTCAACCTCGTTTGCTACAACTTTCGTCTCGTCGATCGATTTCGCCTTGCTTATGTCGTAACAGTTATAGCAAGGGATATGGCTTCTAAGAAGATTAGAAATTTCTTCCGTTAATTTGCTCTCGAGGAGAGAGCAAGTGTATTTTGGACCTTGTTTCCAAAGTCGAGTCAATAATTTTTTTTTAGATCGAAAATATTTTTAGATCCATGATGGAGAAGGACGCTTCGTGTATTGGAGAGCCATTTCGTTTTCTTGTTATTCGAAAATAATATGGGGGAAATGGAGAGGTTTTTACTTTATTGTTTCTCTTCGTGAATTAATTTTTTTGATCCAATTTTATGGATCTAATAGAGATTATCTGAGGAGAGGATGTTTTCGTTCTAGGATAGAATTGCTTCGAACGGAGGGATGTATTGATAATCTCTCGACTGCTGATTCATTTCTCGAGGTCACAATTATATAATAATATTCGTGTTATAAATTAAACGCTTCTAACTTTTCTTCTATCGAATTATATCCTCTCCCTAATCAAGTTATTCTTATTAATTCCATTCTATCGAATTGATAATAGCCGAGGCACAATATATATATATATATATATATATATATATATATATATATATATATATATATTCTCGAGGAGAGATGCATTCGAATATGGAATCTTTCTAAAAACTTCCTCGTTAAATAGACACGTTCGCTTGACGAATTAAGACCGCGATTTCGAAGAGAATTTTTAATTCGATTTGGCCGAGGCGAGGCTCGAAAATTCTCATCACCCCTCCTCCACTATATTTCGAGCGAATTTTCCAGCGGTGGGATACGATATGACGAATCATTGCCGTGTCTCAATCCGTGCAGAAAACGTCGCCGGCGAATATGTCGTCGTCGGTTGGAAAATTCGTTCGAAAAACTCCCGTTTCCAAAGATTCTACCTCCGTTTCCCTTTTATCCACGAACGAATCTCGATGAAAAATTTCGTCTCGCGATATTGAAACCAGGGACGCGACAGATAACGATCGAATCCGGAAACGGAAAGGAATATCGTTATTATATATCCCCTCGATCTTTCCATTTCGATTTTCGTGTGCAAGAGCAAGGTTTTTCGTTAAAGAATCTAGAAATTTAATAGATCTCTGTTTAATAAACTTCGATCCTCAGGAGGAAGAGGAAAGATTGAGCAAGTTTGGAAAAAAAAAAGGGGAGGAGGAGGGGTGAGAATTTTATATATATATATAAACAAATGGCGGTCCGCCATCTTTACTCTGATATTTCCAGAATTATGACGAGCAGATGAATTTTAATAAATCTCTATTTAATAGACTTCGATCCTCAGGAAGAGGAGGAAAGATTGGGCAAGTTTGGAAAAAAAAAAGGGGAGGAGGAGGGGTGAGAATTTTGTATATATATATGAACAAACGGCGGTCCGGCATCGTTACTTTGATGTTTCTAAAATTAATTATGACGAGCAGATGAACCTAGCAATTTAATAAATCTCTATTTAAAAAGCTTCGATTCTGGATCTCAGGAGGAGAAGGAAAGATTGGAAAAATTTGTAAAAAGAGGAGGAAAAGGGGTGAGAATTATATATATTATGATGAGCAGATGAATTTAGCAATTTAATATACCTCTATTTAATATACCTCTACTTAATATTTTCCTCTCAGGAGGAAGAAAGATCGGGCAAGTTTGGAAAAAAAAAAGGAGGAGGAGGGGTGAGAATTTTATATATATAAACAAACGGCGGTCCGCCATCTTTACTCTGATATTTTCAGAATTAATTATGACGAGCAGATGAACTTAGCAATTTAATAAATCTCTATTTAAAAAGCTTCGATTCTGGATCTCAAGAGGAGGAGGAAAGATTGGAAAAATTTGTAAAAAGAGGAGGAAAAGGGGTGAGAATTATATATATTATGATGAGCAGATGAATTTAGCAATTTAATATACCTCTATTTAATAGACTTCGATCCTGGATCTCAGAAGGGGAAGAAAAATCGGATAAGTTTGGAAAAAGGGGAGAATTGAAAATTATATATATATATATAATTAAAACGAGAAAGAGAATAAAAACGAGGATAGAAAACAAACGGCGCTCCGCCATCTTTATTCTGATGTTTCATAAAATTAATTATGACGAGATGAACCTAGCAATTTAATATATCTCTATTTAATAGACTTCGATCCTCAGGAAGAGAAAGAAAGATCGGGCAAGTTTGGAAGAAGAGGGATGATGATATATATAATTAAAGCGAGAAAGAGGATAGAAAACAAATGGCATTCCGCCATCGTTACTCTGATGTTTTCAGAATTATGACGAGCAGATGAATTTAGCAATTTAATATATCTCCATTTAATACTTCTAATACTAATAACTTCGATCCTCAGGAGGAGGAAGAAAGATCGGGCAAATTTGGAAAAAGAAGAGGAGGAGGGATGAAAATTATATATAATTAAAGCGAGAAATATTATAAAAACGAGGATAGAAAACAAACGGCGCTCCGCCATCTTTATTCTGATGTTTCTAAAATTAAGTATGACGAGCAGATGAACCTAGCAATTTAATATATCTCTATTTAATAGACTTCGATCCTGGATCTCAGGAGAAGGAGGAGGAGGAGGAGGAAAGATTGGGAAAAAGGGGAGGAGGAGAATTATATATATATATAATTAAAGCGAGAAATATTATAAAAACGAGGATAGAAAACAAACGGCGCTCCGCCATCGTTACTCTGATGTTTCCAGAATTAATTATGACGAGCAGATGAATCTAGGAAATGGGTTGTGTGCGCTCCCCGCCGCGCTCGAGGCAGAGGAGATAGAGAGAGGAGAGTTAGTTTCACTATGGATGGGGAAGGGAAAAAAGTCCCCTCTGCTTTTCACGTTTGCAAATTTTTTTTCCTTCCCCCATTTCCGCCTCGTCGCATTCATGAACTCTTTTCCGCTCGCCCACATTCCGTGTCACATTTCTGTCCGGTTTCATGCCGATCTTCTTTCGCCGCTTTTTTCGCCCCCTCCCCTCCCCCCTTTATTATATCCTCCCTTTGCCTCCCGTTTTAAACTTTAATCCTCGTTAAAAATCCGGAATTTGTTTCCTTCCAACTTCAATTTTCGCGCCATTTCTTTTTTTTTTTTTCTTTCTTTCTTTTCCTCTTTTTTCTCTGCGTTGTTTTCTACATATTTATTTTACGCGCGAAGAAAACGAAGCGAGTTCACAGAGAAGGCAAAAGAGAAGGTTAATCGAGGGTTTTCGTTTTTGTTCCAGTTACCAGGCCCGAGAAGGCGTCGTTGGGAACAGCGGCGGTAAGTGTTACGAAATTCCAATTCTCTAGTTCTTGATGAGCACTCTTTGTGCGTGCTGGTATTTCGATCGAATCCACGAATGGAAATCGAGATACGCTTGCGTGGAATTATATATATATATCGTGAGTCGTTCTTGAATCGAATTTGTTTCGTTCGAGTTTTTTGATAATCGAAAAGAATTTCGGAGATCGATGTGATTTTGTCCGCCATTTTGCTGGAAAATCGGCGGAAGAAACTCGATAAAATGCGGCGAGAAATCGATAACTATCCCTCCTCTCGCGACCGAGAGTAGCAAGATTCGTAAAACGCGAAGTGTGTTTTGAAAATTGTTGCGAACGAAGCTGTCGAAGGGAGGGGGAGAAAAAAGAAAGAAGAGAAAAAAAAAAAAAAAGGACGTTGTATCGTTGTTGCTCCGTGCTTGTGAATTCGATGCTTTTTGCTCCCGGAGAGAAGAAGCGTCGATACGCGTCGTTTCCCTTCCGTTAAATTTACGTAATTGTACGTAATTTATGGTTATCCAAGTTATTGATGAACAAACGCGTAGACGTGTTTCCCATTATTATCCGTTTGGACGAAATAACGGCACGTCGAAGGGAATATCGAAACTGCATTTCGATAGTTATAATACGAAGGAAAACGAGGTCGTAATGAAAAACGATCGACAAAATGTAATTTACAATCGACGATGGCCACGTTGCGTAAATAAATTGCACGCAAGAAGCAGCGATTAAATGCTCGGTTATTAATTGAATATAAATATATTCTTTTCACGGAACACACATCGATAGAAACAAAAATTAAAAGTCGTGTTTTGTTACGACGATTTTATCGTGGTATAATATTACGGTTAATTTCGTTTCACTCGCGAAACACACGCTAAATGATTAAATCTGAATTTAATTTAACTTTGCGATCAAAAAAAAATAAATAAATAAACGGAATTTTACGTAAAAACGACGATTAAAATTGGCTAAATAAACGTAAAAATATATATGTGTATGAAATAAGTAACTTTCATAGAGTGCATCTCGTCGGTAAGTTAGACAACGATCGAAAAATTTTGATCAGCGCCATCTCGCGTTTGGATCCGCGAAGCTTCGACTCGTTACTAGCGTAGCAGGATAGGCGAGGAGGTATTCGTGACGTCACCGGAGAAAGTGAGCAACAGTGTGCGAGAAGGACAGAGAAGACGCGCCATTGTACCCCCACCACTTCTCGAACACGCTTAATTGAAAATTAATTGATAAATAATTTTTTATCGTGAACTTTTATACCTTTGAACTCGCGTTTCAAAGATATAGAACGACTCAAACAACTCTCTGGTATAAATTTTAACGGGAAATCGTTTTCAATTAATTATTAATTATCGATTAATCGCGTGCGGACTGACGTATCGACGTGCAATATATTTTTCATTAATTTCGCGTTATTATGAGATTTATTTATAAATATAAACGCACGAATCTCAAACGTTGTTCCTTTCTTCGCGTTAACGTATAATTTTTATTCGTAATTATGTTGTTATTCGAAAGAATAAATCGATTGTTATTACTTCGATTATTACGATATACGAGCGAGACGCTCTTTATGATAATCGTTGATAAATAATTAATAGAAAATAATTTCCCGTAAAAAATTTATTGAAGAAAATTGTTTGAGGTTCTATCTTTGAGATGCAAGCTTAAAAGTGTAGAAATTTTTCCTAATTAATCAGTTATTAACGATTATTAGAGAATATGTCAATCGCGTATCCTCGCTTCGTATAATCGAACGGTGAACGATCGAATTATTTATTTAAACGACGATAAATATACGAATAAAAATAATACGTGAAAGTAGAGGAGAATCTAACGTTTCAGATGCATATATTCATGTGTAGAAATAAATCTCGCAATAATACGAAATTAGTGAAAAACGCGTTGCGCGTCGGTTACGTTGATCCGTATTCGAGCCATTAATTATTAATAAATAATTAATCGAAAAGAATTTGTAATTAAAATTGATACGTGAAAGTTGTCGAAGGTGTTAACTTTAACCTGCAAGCTTAAAAGTGTAAAAATTTTGCGTAGAAAATTAGTAATTAATGAAATTTCGTTGTAACGTTCTCGAAAAATTAAAAAGTATCAGGAACCGCATAACCAAAAATAGTGGCACGTTTGCTCTTCCCCGTGACGTCACGAATACCTCCTCGCCTATCCTGCTACGCTAGTAACAAGTCGAAGCTTCGCGGATCCAAACGCGAGATGGCGCTGATCAATATTTTCCGATGTCGTTTGCTAACTTACCGACAAAATAAATTTCATTGACAATTTCATATTAATTTACACATTAATGGAAAGAGAAAGTTTACAACGTTCAAAAAAGATTTCAACTGATCAATACCCCATTCTTACTCTTACTCTTACTCTAGATGGGACTTCTTTTTTTTTTTTTTTAATTCTATTTCCATCGATAAATATTTCATTCTATCAAAAAAAAAAAAAAAACTCTGATAATTATGATTTTACACTATCTTATTCGTTTCTTATATATTATAATAGGAAGAAATATTTTACCTTACGCAATCGAACCTATTATCTATTCTGAAGAATTATAAATAGCATCTCATCAACGGTTAAATCATTCTTGCTCGAGTACACGTCTCTCCTTGCACTTTCCAGGTTATAAATCCTGAGAGAAGAAACGCAAGCAGCGTTATTAGCCTGGAGGATGACGGGGTCGCGGTTGGCTCGCGGGTCGAACGGATCGAGAACGAAGAGCAGGAGGAGGATTACGAGGGCGAGGACGAGTACGAGGACGAGTTGAAGGCCGTGGCCGAGTCGCACGAGGCGATGTCGAGGGACGACATTAGAAATTCGAACGTCTCCGCGGCACCGTCCACGCCAGGAATCCCGGACAGGATCTCGTCTCCCACCAAGAATTTCGATTCGCGCGAAGTGATCGCTGTCAATAACAGCTCCGACGAAGATGTCGCCTCGAACGAGGCCATTACCGACGAGATCGTCGATAAATACGACCAGGAGGTACGTCAATGCTCCTCTTTTTTTTTTTTTTTTCCTTACTCGTGTATTGCATTAGAAGAGTAAAGTATATAACTTGAATAAAAATCTCTTAACATTCTAATAATTATAGTGAGATTGCGACGAGAAGACGATTTCCTTCTCTTCTTTTTTTTTTTTTTTTTTGTTTTTAGATTGGTTCATTGGATCGGTGTACGGTGGAAAAATTGTGAAATATATATATATATATATATATATATATATATTCATTTGTCTCGCGAGGTAGAGCGAATTTTTCCTTTTCCTCGAGAAGGAAAGAAGTTTTTCTTCCGAGAATCGACAGGTGGAAAAAAGCGCAGGTGTGCGCGTTCGTTTCGAGAACGGTGATATATAGCATACATCGTTTAACCGCTCCTCGAAAATGAAACGTGAAATGAACGGAAAGGAAAAAGAGGGATCGAACCGCGCAAGTTTTTCAAGTAAATTTGACACTCGTTGTGCAGGTGTATCGGTACGTTTCTATATTGAAATTTCGCTTGGAACTTTGCTAGATTGGACCATCTGGCACGAATCGGAGAAAGCTTTTGCCTACGTTTCGAATAACGTGCCGAGCGCGGAATTTCAATTGATCGTAGCCACGCGATTATAAAGCCGCGTATACAGACTAGAACACGATTGTTAGAAACACTATATATATATATATACTCACTGTCGATCGAAGAGAAGCGAGATCGTGCAAGATGACGATAAAATATTCGATCCATAGGAGAATACTTTTTCTCTTTTCTTGAAATTGAAATTCTTCTTTATCAAACAATTGTTCGCAATAATATTATTCATAATATTGTAATGGTGGAGAAACCAATAGATAGGTATTGTAAAATGCTCTTCGACAGATATCGTAACAAATGGTATATTTCTCAAAGACGAGTGAAGTGTATAAGCGTGTCTATAAGAAAACAGACAGAGTTGGACATTAACCTTTTGAAAAAGTTAAAAATCTCGAATAAAATCGCTTTAAGCAATTGCTTATTAAAAAGTTTAAAGTCGATTCTTTTCGCATAACCTCCGCCTTCCAATTATCATTACGAACGATAAATTATCGAATTAACTCATCCAAGCAACTTTATTCGTAATTTCGACTATTAAATTTTCTCCGTCGCTGATGAATTTTCTACGACGCAATATTAGAACGTTATTTTTGTATCCAGCGTATCGAAGCACGACCTGTTCGCGATGAGACTTTGTTTACAAATGAGATTCGTGCCTTTGGAAAATCCCTTCCTAGTTCAATTGGCAGGATCTCGGTTTCCTCGGTGGGGCACGACAACGACCAATCATATCGCGGTTGGTGCCTGGCTCGCGACACTCTCGAGTTGGAGAGAAATTCCTCGAATCGGGCCAGCGATCTTTACGCAAACATATCGAAATAAACAGAAATTTATCAGCGTATCTCTATTATAGATCTCCTTGAACTAAAACGCGTCTGGAATACGTGAATACCTTTAGAATCAGTCCAGGCTGGAAGTGCGTCAAAAAGACACGATTACAAGCGCCGACTGAACTCTCGAAAACGACTATCTTCTCGCATAACATCGTCCTTTATTCGAGTTGACAGCATCATTATTTAGAGTCAAGAGATAATTTAACAGAGAATTAAATATAACTCGCTCGCTACGACGGTACTTGTATATTAATTGTACTTCGATTGGATGCAAGAGAATCTGATCGATTAATTCCTGGAAAAATAAAAGTTCGTTAATTTACGTCTAAATGAATCTAATTTCGATATTTTATTTTTATTTATATAAAAGCCCGATGACCCGATTCGGGGAAAAATCGACATCGCGGTCGAGCCTTGACCACCACCGCGTTTCGTTCGAAGCACAGTTTCGCGGGGGCAGGGACAAAGCGTTCCTGGGGAGTGAACCCTGACCCGGCAACGGCCCTGACCTACCACCTGCCCCCCGTACCTTTCTTACCGCGTTCCATTTACGATTAACCTGGCCTCACGCCAGGACAACGTTCAATCCCGATATCTGGTCCTAGCCTGACTCGCTTCTGGTTATCCTCGTTCCACTCGCTGACCGATCAATTTCCGGCTCGCGATTCGACGCGTGACTTAAAAACTTCTCTCTCTCTCTCTCTCTCTCTCGCTCTCTCTCTCTCTCTCTCTCTCTCTCTCTCTCTC